CCCGTTAAAGAAAGGATGTTCCCAGCGTCGCGAGGCTAACCGCCGCCTCGATCAGCTCGTTCGGACAGCCTCGATCTTCTCACCTTTCGCCCCAGAGCCCCTGAAAACCCACACGTGGAGAACATGTGCGGCGATCCGGGTTGCCCAGTGACTCAAGGTCGGGCAGGTTCTGTCATGGGCGTCAGGAGAGGAAAACCAAAGGGAATTTGAAAGATAAACTCTCAGCCAATTGTCGCAAGATTTGCAGTTTTATTCTTGTTTGTCGCGCTCAATCTTACAATGGTAACGCTATGGCCGAGAGATTCTGCCGGGTATCTCACGCTCGCGATGAGAGAAAGAAAGACGAGCACTATCTAGCTTCGCTTTCCGGTCGCGGGCATTTACATTTAATGTCGGAGACTTACGCTGCGGGAACGAGTCGCTGCTGATAAGGTATCCTCGACGGTGTCCACGGGCCGCGTTGGTTTCTAGCCCTTCCACGCAACACGCCTTTCGGTCAAGGTTTTCCCTGCCCGAGTTCGCAGTTGCCCGCAATCCTTGACTGTTGCCTCAGATCACTCTGGGCAACTGGCAGTAATGGGCAGCGAATGACCCTTCTCTGAGCCGTGATTCCCAGCGACCTTGGGACCACCGGGTCTTCGTATGAAATCGGTCGAGGAGCTCCTTAAATTTCCAATGCAATCACTCGTCGCTCGTGTTTTTCTTGCCCGCAGGTACGGACTCGACTACTCACATGCATTCCTCCTTCGCACCTCGATCTAATCGCTCTCATTCCCCTTCCCCTTTTTCCTACTGTCACATGCTATGCGCGCCTAACACGCGCTGGTCGGTGCCCTAATCTCTCTTCTCTCTCCCGCTTTTTCGTTCGTTCGCCTTGCGGGCGCTTTCCGCTTCTCCTCCTCTGATTTGTTCTCGCGGGTCGGCTTTTGCGTCGCCCCACGCGATGGGAGCGCTTAGGCTCTACCTTTAACGAGCGACACTCGTTATAATATGTAGTCGGATATAAAAAAATATATTTATATTTATCTTGTTTATGAAAAAGTGCAAAACTGATTTTAAAAAGATAATTCTAATTGAAAAGCAATCGTACAAAGATATCTTGAGCTTTAAATATTTTTATAATATATAATTTCGTTAATTTTTTGAAAAAAGTAACAGATACACCGTATACAAATATTGACTAAAAGTAAAAGGTGTTATTTATTATTTATTTTTAATTCATTTGTCCTATCTTTTCACATATATATGTACATAGCATTTGCATCTATTTTCATGTTAATATACAATTTAATGAACCATATCGAAATTAAAACAGTTTTGGTCTAGCGTGTTACGTTTTAATTACCCCATTGCAATACGCTGCACCGGCGCAGTGCACTACAAAGCACTGCATTGTCAGCGGTGTTGCCACACGTTCATACGTGGCCACATGTTATACCAGACAAACGAAAAAAGTATTTTTTTTCGAAGCTATTATCTCTAAAACGGTAAAGCGAAAGATATTTTTTATTTTTTTATATTATAGCTACAACCTTGCTCTTTAGCAAACTAGGTTTTTATTAAAATCTACAGAAAACTTTCAGACTTATTGGCAACTATGTAATTGCGTGAACGGTCTTCCCCATAAGATGTCATGTATAAGGATTCAACTTTACGATTTTTTTCTCGTATCCAGTGAAGCTAGGTTTCCTGAATTTTTTATATGTTATAGAGGACACCGAAATCCATACGTACAAATTTTTCTAAAACATTTTACAGAAAATGAAATTTCACGACAACCCCCCCCCCCCCCTTAATATAAGCAAACAAGGGTCTCGAATAATAATCGAAATAGTCAAAATCAAAGAATAAGCGATATGTATATTTGTAACCACCAAGTTAGTCATTTTGCAAAATGCTAATAATGTAAGTGCTTATTTCCGACGATATATATAAAGGGTGACCCAATTTAAATGGGCACCGCAAATAACTCGTCAGGGACGGCCCCAATCGAAAAAATAGTAGAGACCAAAGTTGTAGGATATCGAAAGGAAAGACAGATGGTGACCTTGGATTCGACCTTATACGTGATTTTCGCGTCTTGCCTTCATCGGCTGGGCTTTAATTCTTGACTGGATCCCAATGGGATCTGATAATCCAGCCTGCTACGTCCTCGTCGTAGGTCCTGGACATCAAGTTTCATAATGATCACGAAACGCAGAAAATGGTACGTTAAATGATAAAAATCGTTTCTTCTATTATAAATTGACTACTTCGTTTAAAACGTAACATTTTACGCGCTTTCAAAATCCAAAGTCAAGAAACGGTACCGTTAAAAAAAAAAAAAATTTGACCTTGAAATGACCTTAATGGACTATGTCAAATCCAAGGTCACTATCAGACTTCTCCCTCGATATCCTACAACTTTGGTCTTCACAATTTTTTTTATTGGGGTTCTACCAGAGGACTTGTGCTGTAGAGTTTAAAATTGTCTGCATTACCTTGAGATGACCTCAGCTACTGCAACTAAACATACCATTCTAAACGTACAATTTCCTGCTCTTTTCATTCCCACAATAAAAAAGTAGGGTTCCTATTTATAAACTCCAAGTTAACCTTCAAATGACCTTGAGAATTGCGTTCAAGGTCGAATCCAAGGACACCATCTGACTTCTCTCTCGATATCTTACAAATTTGGTCTATACCATTTTTTCGATTAGGGCCGTCCCTCACGAGTTATTTACGGTGTCCGTTTAAATTGGGTCACCCTGTATATACAGGATGTCTCAGACCACCCGTCCACACCCCAAAGTGTACCGAAAAAGTTTTTTTTTTCAAAAATTGATAACGCAATTATATATAAATCGAGTACGCTCTATCGATTGGACGTAAAATCAACTTCCGGTTCCAACCGGAAATGGCCTATTCAGACCGGAAGTGCATGAAAATCCATTTTTTTAAATGAAACATGCATACTTTTTTTTCAGATTCAGATTCTACGGTAAAAAATACGAAAGTTTCATAAGAAGAATTTTTTGAAAAAAGTTGATATTTGACCTCTAATTGACGTCTGAAGTCTGTAATCCACCAGTTCGTACTCAAGCTGCGAATATGCACGTTTTAACAATGGAATAGGATAATGTGGCTCCTCTAAGAGATTTTCGGGGTCACTGAGTCCGAATCCAAGGTGAGTTTGATCTTATCAGGTCATTTTGAGGTCAATTCAAGGTCATTTAGAGGTAAAACAAAAAAAAATATTAGATTTATCAAGAATGAAGTACTTTTAAAATTTTAGCCTTAATATTACAAAAATATGAATCTCGTCGTTTTTTCATTTATTCTTGTTATTATTAATCTATGTATTTACATAGCGTACTTTTATGAAATTAGGAGAAATGAAATTCCATAACAAATTAGTTTAGCGAGATAAAAATCTTTATTCTCAAAACATAATAGATTTCGTTGCAGTAGCAACATTTGTTTATAATATCATAACAAGTTTACTTTCAAGCAGGATCATTTGCCACTGCTGAACAATTGTGGCGACGACGCTACCCTGACAGATCTCCTCATTCTCGAAAGGTTTTTAGTCGACTGTCTAGAAGAATTAGAACTGAGGGAATTGGTCAACTGGTCAATCCGCCAAAGAGATGAGTTTCACAGATCTGTTCTATTTTCGGATGAATGTACCTTCAAGAGTGATGCAGAAGTTAATACGTCGAATTGTCGTTATTGGTCACCACAAAATCCCCGGAAAACATCCCGCTGCAGTTACGGCGTGAAATGTGGTTTCAGCAAGATGCATGTCCTGCACATACGGCACATATCTGCCGAAATAGTTTGAATCGTATGTTCCCCAATAGGTGGATTGGAAGGTTTGGTCCTGTCAATTATCCACCTCGATCCCCAGATCTAACTGTCCTGGATTACTATTTGTGGGGAAGAGGAAAGGACATAGTTTACCAAGAATGTCCGACAACGAGAGCCAATATGATTGGCAGAATCACGGATGCAATTCGGTCGCTGCAGGCAGCAGAAATTAGAAGAGCTGTTGATAATTTCCAAAGAAGAGTTCCAGCATGTATTTTTCAAGGCGGAGCGCATTTTGAACATTAAAGTTTTTGTCAAATCTTCACCGTCTATTTTCGCACAGTTATTTCAGCGTTATTCATAAAAAAATTTTATTTACAGAACAATAGAAGATAAAATCTAATTATGTTATAAAAATTTTCATTATGATAGGTTCTCATAAAACATATTCTCATTATTTATGTTATTATAAACAAATGTTGCTACTGCAACGAAATCTATTATGTTTTGAGAATAAAGATTTTTATCTCGCTAAACTAATTTGTTTTGGAATTTCATTTCCCCTAATTTCATAAAAGTACGCTATGTAAATACATAGATTAATAATAACAAGAATAAATGAAAAAACGACAAGATTCATATTTTTGTAATATTAAGGCTAAAATTTTAAAAGTACTTCATTCTTGATAAATCTAATATTTTTTTTTGTTTTACCTCTAAATGACCTTGAATTGACCTCAAAATGACCTGATAAGATCAAACTCACCTTGGATTCGGACTCAGTGACCCCGAAAACCTCTTAGAGGAGCCACATTATCCTATTCCATTGTTAAAACGTGCATATTCGCAGCTTGAGTACGAACTGGTGGATTACAGACTTCAGACGTCAATTAGAGGTCAAATATCAACTTTTTTCAAAAAATTCTTCTTATGAAACTTTCGTATTTTTTACCGTAGAATCTGAATCTGAAAAAAAAAGTATGCATGTTCCATTTAAAAAAATGGATTTTCATGCACTTCCGGTCTGAATAGGTCATTTCTGGTTGGAACCGGAAGTTGATTTTACGTCCAATCGATAGAGCGTACTCGATTTATATATAATTGCGTTATCAATTTTTGAAAAAAAAAAACTTTTTCGGCACACTTTGGGGGGTCTGAGACACCTTGTATACAAAATAAGTAGCAAGAATTATATTAAAATTCAAACCTACTGATAACAATCTCCAGGTAACTGATCTTAATTTTGCTGGAATACCTGACCACGACAGCTGCCTTAACTCGTCTAAATTTAGCAGTGAAGATTCAAGAAGCAGTTGGAATTTATCAACCTTACTTTCTCCATCTGTAACAAATAAGATCATATTATACGACATTTTTTAAATTACATACAATATTACATCAATAATCGAGACGTCTTTGCTTGATCTTGGTTCTAGTGTATATTACATAATATAATAGTAAAAAAAAAATATCCGGCTAAAATTAGTCCACCATCTACTTTTTGGTACACTGATTATTATCTATGTGTCATCGGTATAACTACTATACTTTGTAACGGGGTAGCTATCCGTTTATTTAATTTATGCGCGCGATCGTATCGAAGAGCGCGCGGGATTATCTACACGTTCAAATTCGAAAATCAGAGAGCAGGAGGGAATGGGTGTCAGTCAACCAACTATTTACCAGTGAGAAATAACTATATCAGAATTACGATCAATATCACAAGCGGGATCGTTTATTGCCTCTTAATTCTACACTGTGTTCGGCCCGCGTGTTTATGTTTCGACAATAACATGCAGAGTTGGATCGCTCGCCGCTCTTTGTTCGCCGAGTTAATACATGCATGCTTCTTATGATGTACGAGAGATTAGTTATCGTCAATTACGTAGCGATCGCGAAATGAAGCTGGCCAGCTTACCTTAATAGTAGTCGCACGGAGAACGAAAGAAAAAGTTCGTGATAGTGTCTCGTGGAAATCTGCGTCTGTGATCGAGCGGATCACGCTTTTGGTTTAGCCCTCGATGGCGAAACCCCGCACTTACGCTCACTTAAAAACTCGGGAAAAATATTCCTTATTGGTTGATTGCGGCTGGAGGTATCGGTAGCTAATCCTCGACTGGTTCGTTTTCATACGCGCGCGTTCCGTCTTGTCTCGTGTCGAATTCCCACATTATAGCGTAGCGTCCCAACCGGCAGATGCTGCCCTCGCCGGCAGCCGCATGGTTGGGCTGTTAGCGCTAATAAGATATTTACCGTCACAGCCCCCATCCAGTCTGGACCTAAGGAGTCCTTGACGATAGAATCATTAGCGCTATTCTTTTGGAGGTTAAGAGGGTGAAGGACAATAAAAGGTCATATTCTCTGTGATACTTTGAGCAAACTTTATTGCGTGTTGGTGTGGGTGTGGCCATGCCCACGGGGGCAGGGATATTCAAACTGGCTGGTCACTGGTCATCTCCCGTCCTTCTGCGTCCAGCGAAGGGCGGCAGCGGACCTCCCATCCCAGCCTCTCCTGGACCAGGTCGACGTGTTGACTGACACGGGGACACCGGTCTGTGCGGGTCACCCCGGGGTAGTGGCATACGTTGCACCCCTCCCACTGTGAGCGGGTGCCACGAGGGAGGTCTCGTTCCCTAGGGGTCAGCGGCAACCCGTCCCGCCGGTTCGGGGCGCACCACAGCCGCCTTTCGACCTTGGGGTCTTCACCCGTGGACCCTACCACAAGATTTAGGTGGATGGGCTCCGTTGCTTGACCCTCGTTGCTGCCGTCCACATTGACCACGAGGTTTACCCCGCACGTCCGCGGGCCCCGATGTGTCGTGGCCTCCGACCTGGCCTCCGGAGCCGCTAGTTTGGTTCCGACGACTGGAGGCTGGGAGAGACCAACAGGTGCGTCACCCACCGGGCCCTCGAGGGCCTGGCGGTGACGGCGCTGCCTGTCTTTTAGCGCCTGTGCGAACTGGCGCCGGCGGGACACTACCTTGCTCCAGTAATCCATATCACTGGGGCGGTGTCCCGCATCCGCATACGCGTCGTATTCCGCGTATACGGCTCGTTGGAGGGTATTGAGGGTCGTCCAGCCTTGTTCGACCTCCCTCCAACCCTCCACTATCTCCTCCCAGGTTCGTTCACCAGGCGAGGATGCCTGACTAGTGAAGCTGGGGCGCCAGGTCGCATCAGCGAAGGCTCCCTCCGTCTGCGTTCCTACAGAGGTCTGTGGGGCCTTCCTGGGGATTGCCCCCGTTGGTGGTCCGGGTAGTGGCGTAGATTCTGCGCGCACGACGCCCTGCACGGTCGAAGGGCGCGGGGACTGTTCGTCGGCGACCTCTTCGATATCACGGATGATGAGCTCGCGTGAGCTCGCATCCGTGTTTGCTCCTCCTCTTCTTTTTTCTTGCCGAGGAGGTGCAGGGCGGCGTGCACTACCCCCTCGACGGCGGGACCTAGGTCCAGCCTAATGAGGGCGGCTGCTGCCTCTTCGATTTGTTCGAAGCTGATCTTCATCCTGTAACAGTCACATGTAACAGTCCCACGGGGCCCTCCGATAAGGCCTCGCCTATGGTCCTCTGCAATATCGCCTGTTGAGAGGCTGTTACCTCGGCTAGTCCGATCGTAGCTAATCTCGGACCAGCCTCTAAGCTTGTTACCTCTAGCTTCATCTTGGTTTGTGATTTCTTGAACAGCAACGTATTATCGTCGGGGTCAAGTACCGCTCTAAACAGTCTAACAAAATTCACTCCTAGGATACATTTATCGATGAGGGTTGGGAGGATAGCTACCCTCGTCGGCAGTCATATCCCCCACGGTGAACGGCAACATGGCGTGACCGACGATCGTTAACTTACGACTATCTGGTAGTCCTACCGTACCCGCGTGGGTGGTATCTAACCTGATGCCTAGCACAGACGCTATCTGCAGAGCATTACTACCCATTGCTGTGGTGGAAGCTCCCGGATCATAGAGAGCCCGTATCTGGAAGTCTCCTGTTTTCACCGGCAACCACCAGCGCGTTTCCTGTTCCGAGGAATATTGCGAAACAGATTCGGCGGCTCTACAGCCCTGCTCTTTGCATACCATAGCGCTAGCCACTGTGCTCTCGCGTAGTAAAGTGATGCCACTTGTCGTTCGAACCACATTGGTACGGACGATCGGAGTTTCCATGGGGTTACCCTTTGACGGTTTATCTGCCGTTGCCCGCGCCCCCGAGGTCGTGTGCGATCCATTCGCCACCACCTCGGCCGTTTCAGGGTCTTGAGCTTTACTAAAGTCAATACCCTCTCTCTCCACGTTCACTTTACCGCCACGTTCATCATTGGCGCCACCAGGGGAGTTCTTGCTCTCGTCGCTCAACACGCTTGCTACTATCGGCGCTGACTGTGTTGGCGAAGGCCGCGAGATCTCGTTTACGGGGCTTATTTTAGGGGACGAAAGAGTGGGGTCAACCCCACCTAACCACTCCTTTCCTCGTTTCCCTTATTGCATTGGGGACAGTACTTTTTGCTGTACCCCAATAACCCGCACTCGATGCACTTGAGTGGCTTGGAGAAGTCTCTCTCCCGTCTTCGAGGAGATCCGGCTTCCTAGTGCGGTCTTCCGAGGTCAAGTTTTTTCCAACGAGGTTGTGCTTCATCCCTTCAGATATCTCCTTGAGAGATAACAGCACTTGGCTCAGTAGATCGGCGGGTGGTGCCTTCTTTTCGCCATCAACTGCCTCTAGGCTCGGACTAGGTGTCGCCCCCGAGGGCGTCGGTGTGTAGACGACCTGGTGCGTCACCTTCTCAAGCACTTTCTCCATCCTGTCCAACCGGTCGCTGATCTCCGGCTTATCACTGGACATTGATGCCACTTTGCCCTTGCGGCACTTGCTTCTATCGGTGCGAGGGTTGTACGCCAACTACGGGTACAGCGTTGATTGTGGATCCGGTACCACCCGTTCTAACTTTCTCTGGTGCAAGCTATTCTGTGCCGCCGTGGCCAGCGCATTCAGGGTTCGTATGGAGCTCACTTCGGATCTCCGCACCTGGCCCTGAATGTCCGGGAGAAAGTTGGCGTGCAGCAGGTCCAATTGACAATCGGACGTCATTTGGAGGTTCAGCCGCTTCATCAGGCCCATCATGTTGGCGACGTAAACATTCACGGGTTCGTCGGGACCCTGATATCGGCTCTGAATTTCCCTCATTAGACGCTGTTGCTGCTGCACACTGGTCCCAAACTATTCTCTAGCGTCCATCTCGAATTCGGCGTAGGAGCGCCATGGAGAGCCATTCCTCCTTCATCGCCTCGTACCAGGTGAGGGCGGGACCGACGAGTAGCTCCGATACCGTTAGGAGCATCTCGTCTTCCGTGAGTCCCGCGCCGTTCCTCAAGCTGTCCAGCCTAGACAGGAAGGTGTCAATATTCGCAATGCCCTCTCCTGAAAACTTCAGTATCCATCCTCGGACAATGCGACCAACATCCCTTGTAGTCAACCAAGAGTTTGTTGTCTGCTGAGATGACCACGTGCTCGGTGGGTGGATATTTACTTCAACATTAACTCTACTGAGTTAATGCTGTCCACCCTCTCCGAAAGGGAGCGTCCGGCGGGGGATCCTGCCGGTGGCTCCCGTGAGCCTCTGTCTGGGTCCAGCTGGAGTACTGTGGGGTAACCTGGTGTCGTGATGATAGGTGAAGATATCTTAGAATGCTACGCTCCTACGCGTGTTTTCTTGTTGTCGCATTTCGCCGGAATTCGTATTATCAATTTCGCATTATTTTGCTGTACATTCCTGTTTTCGGCATTTTCCAATGCGCTCATTCTGGCCGATAGGTCGTCCAGTTGGCTCTTGACATTGCTGCAGTTGTTATATATCTGGTCTAATACCTTCGTTAGATTCGACACGTTTACTCTTAATAAGTCTAGCAGCTCGAGTTTCTTCTCATTTTCTCTGGACCGGAAAATGAGGTCTTGGATCATTACCGCAAATGTCGGCGGGAGTTGAAACTGGCTACCATCATTAGCCGTTATAGTAATATACTTATTACTGCTCGTACTCTCGTCGTCGTCCAGTACGTTTGTGATGTTTATTGCTGTTTCTTGAATCCGCGATATCACCTCTGCACTTTGCATTAGCTGGGCTAGCGGGTGTTCACCTTCTTGTTCGGACGCTGTGTGTTCCGCGCATAAGGATACTATGAGCTCCGAGCGTAGGGCTGCCCTTCTTGCTGGATTGCCGTGTTGGTTGTCGACTTCCGCGAAGTCCGCTGCAGAGTAGTCGCCTAATAACCAATTTTGCAGTCGTCCAGCTCTCGAGAGCTTATTCCTGCTTGTCTTGAGCTCCAAGTGTTCAAGGTATTCATTTGTTT